GTTGTATAGCCACATGTTTTCAGTGGGTAACTAGCATACACAGTATCTTTATCTTAGAAATGTATAAATTTATACTGTTTGATAAAATAGTCAACAGTCATGGCCATATAAATTATAATCAAGTGAAATAAAAATTTTTGTTTTTCAATTTCACTAGGCACATTTTGAATGGTCATTATCCATACAATGGTTTCTGTATTGGGTAGAGCAGATACAGAAATGTAGAACTGAATAGTACATGTACAGACCATACTCACAACCATTGTTGTTGAGTTTATTCCTGCTTAAAAGAAATAAAAGTGACTCATTGTTATGGATTTCTCCAAAATCTTGAAGAACAATGATGTCATTCTAAAGACTAAATTGCATCTGGTTTGGGCCACAGTCTTTCCATTCACCTACTACACATCTGAGAGCTAGACAACAAGTAAAGATGATAGAAGAAGACACAATATATTTGACTTGTGGTGTTGGAGAGAGAGTCCTGGATATTCCACGGAATGCAAAAAAAGACAAACATGTATGTGTTGCAGAAAATGCAACCAGAATATTACTTGGAGGCAAAGTTGAGAAAGCTTTGTTTTGCATATTTTGGGGATGCGGTTAGAAGAGGCTTATCCTTGGAAAAGACATCAAGCTTGGAAAGGTGGAGGGTCAGCAAAGAAGAGGAAGACCCTTAAATAGATTGATGCAGTGTCTGCAGCTATGGACTTATCTGTGTAGGAGATGATAAGAATGGTACAAGATAGGACAGAGTTCAGATCCATTGTTCATGGTGTTGCTATGAGGCATATTTGACTAGATGACACTCAACAACAACAACAACAATCAGCTTATCGATTGAAATATCTGATTGAATAACAATAAACAATAATAGTTGCAAATATAATAAAAATCAAGGAAAATGAGATAAATACTCACTGAGATTGAATGATACAGTAGTTACAACAATGGACTTGAACTTTTCATGATTATGAAGGTTACTCAGGATCGAGCAACATTTTGTTATATTTTTGTTCAGAGTTCATATGGCAAGGCAGCCAGCAATATACACTCAGACCTGTGCGAGGCTGTAGGGAAGACAGAAAAATCAACCCAATACTTGTCTTTTTTGCATACTTACAACTTTTGGGGATAGAATAAATGAACCCCACATTTTGGGACTGATTTGAATTTCTTCTTAGATGAAAAGAGAGAGTTTAAAATAGGTCAAGAAAATTGTGCCATCTTATATAATCGATATTCATTTTGGGAGGACTCGGAGGAGGATAGTGACTGTGATCAACATTTGTGAGAAAATGACAAAATGTGAATCTCATAATAATTTTCTGTTTAATGCATTCTTTGAGTGTGAGTTTTTCTTTTCAGATAATAAAGTACCAGTTGAAACATACTAAACAATTAGTTTCTATTAAAATCTCATAACACCTTCCTTGCTCCCTATTTAAAACTGAACTACTTCTTGACATCAGAGACATTTTCTCCCTGACTCCAGGGACTCAGTCCCACTGGCCTCTGCACGACCTTCTCCCAAAGAGATCAGGAGGAATTAGTTGGATTATTCCATGTTGGGTTTTTCTTTATTGCAAGTCTTGAGCATTTTTATCCATGTATCTTCTCTCTCCACAAAACCCAAAAACCTCTTGGCCACTGCTCAACTGTTACTAGCAGACATGCAAGTCTGCAAGTAGGTCTTGAGGCTACAAAGGCTGTGTAAAATTCTTCAGATCCTAACTCTTTTGCACAGAAAGCATGGATTCAGGTATTAATCTGTGGCAGAAGTTATCTAAGTTTATGATGGACTAGTTTAGGTCAGAAGGAGCCAGGATTCTGTCCCAGGAAATGAATGTGCATGCAAATATGAGACTGGGTGTGAGCATTCTCTGTGAATGTGTACCTCTACAAGTTGTAGAACATCCCTACCTGGGATGTGCATTAGGTCAGGAAAGGTTTTAAGCAGTGTGTATACTTTGGTGGTTCTATATTGCTTTTGCATTGTTCATGTGATTCTGTGTGTTGCTATGATAATGGATATTTGTAACTGTCTTAAGGTTTGCTACCATATGCTGTTTGTCTTTGTGTATTCTGTTTTGTTCTGTAAATATTTGTGACTATAGGCATGAATTTCAACTACATTCATGAGAATGCTTGTATATTATGAGTGCTTTTTTTACATCATAATATGTTAACATTTTGTGTGAATTTGTATGAGACATTTATACTCCCTGCATCTTTCTAAGGCGTAGATGTATCAGAGAAAAGGAGAAATTGTCCTTCAGTAATATGTATGTGTGTGCACGTGCAGACTCACTTCTAACTAGAACTTAGGAGGAAAAGTAGAAATTTTCTTACTAAATTCACCTATAAGTAATGAGGACTTGAAACCATCATACAGCAAAGTGAGTATGCTTGCCTGGGTGTATAAAGGCTGCCTCACTGTTTCTTTTTGACTCAGACCAGAACCCAGTCAGGATTTTTAGCTTTTCATTAAGGTTGGGTGCATTAGACTATAGAAGCTGAATGCTTCAATAGTGTCCCCACAACCCTAAGAAGTCCTCACTTTGGACTTTAGCATTGTCTATGTTTACGCCTCACAAGCATGACAGAATGGTTAAAAATGTAGGTTCTAGCATCCAAACATATACCGACAGTTGCCAAGTAATGCAACTATAATGCTATATAATTTTGTAGCTTTACACTTGTTCTGTCTGAGGTCAACAGCCTTAAATGTAAGGGAGAATAGTATTTGGTATAGGAAACTGTTTATAAGTGGTTTAATCTGTGACAGGCACATAGAAAAGATCCAGTAAAATGATAACCAGTTGTATAATTATTTCCTGAACGGAGCTGAGTTTCCTGATTATCAGTCATATCCTAACTCTCCATGGAAGAACATACGCTGTCAGGATGTAATAACAAGTTCGTCTGAAGACTCCTTTCAAATGTCAAGTCACAATTTCATTACTTCCATTTACACACTAGGTTCTGCTGCTGTTTTTTTAAATTATACTAGTTTATTTACAAAATTAGAATACATTGTTTTCTAGAACAGATTGTTTCAATTTCACTCACCCCCTCACCTGTCAAATTGTACAACTCCATGAATAATCCCCCCTTTCCCCTGAACATTCTCATCCCTGTGCCTCCACCCCCACCTCTTGGATACAGGGTGCTTCTTGAGTCAAGGTTGTATAGACAGTGCAGCACTGTAGCTATTTCAGATTTTCTCTCTGAACTTGTAGTTGAAGTCTTACCCACCAAATGCAGAAGCCAGAATTGAGCATGAGAAATGAGATAACTGTCCCCTTGCTAATGGCCCAGTGTCTATGAGAATCATGTTGGTCTAAAACAGTTATCTGCAATCAAATATAGATATTGAGTGCTAATGTGACTCTATTAGACACTGTCCCCTATCATCAAAGAAATGGGAAGTGGCTATCACTAGGAAAAAGAGTAACAGAAGATCTGCCGTAGAGATTGGGTCCTATCACCCAAAGCACAAAGTAAGCATTGATCATACAAAACCGGGATCCATATGCTATTGGCAAATTTAAACACTGTAGGATTGTGAATAAGAATGTAGGTATTTGATCTAGTTGTTGAGATAATATTGGAGAAAGAAATAGTTATTCAAGCACTGAAATAGCATATGTCAAATGCCTCATTTTTTGTTGATTAGAAATGAGGAGGAAAAGTATATTCAATAAAAGCAGAGAATCTCTCTCTATATATATCTATGTGAAGAATGGTGTTTCTAGAAGTTATTGGCTATGTGATTCTAAGCAGATTTCTTAACATTTCTGTTCTAAACATTACATGTGCACAGATATGCAAAATTTCTGTGGTATGTCTAGTACATAGCAGAGCACATGCTCAATAAATGGCAATTGTTAGGATTTATTTAGGGAAATATTGATGTAAATTATGTCACTTACATTTTGGCAGTTACCACAAATTCTATGGTGTTGTTCACAGGTGCTGTAGAGTTGAATATGACTCACAGCAACCCTATGAACAATCGATCTGAATGAACCCTGCCCTATGCTGTGCCATCCTCACAATCTCTGACTCACTCAAGCCCATTACCACAGTCATCCAACTTAACAATTCTTAGGTCCTAGGCCAAGTGTTCCTATGTCTCACAAACACTCAAATATTAGTCTACTGTGTTCACAAGATGGGTAAGGAGACATAGACAATAATGAAGATGGATGAAGCCTAATTTGTTTAAAATGAAATAAATTGCATTAAGGTACGTGACATCAGGAAATGAACTCCAAGGGTTAGTTCGCGTTTCTGCACCTTTCTTGCGACTGTGAGAACCACCTGTGAAGGTTATATATATATTATATAGTGATATATACACACACTATATATATGTCCGTCACTTTCTTTTTTCTAATGTCCATTTCTCATTTCTCATATATTGGAATCCAACAGATATAGTAGGGTGAAGTTCAGTTGGATACTTATACTGCATAATTTAATAACATTTTTTTGCCCTACTATATGAAGAATTCTATTCTAATATAGAAACTCACATTGAATTATTTAATTCTTCTCTAAATCCTATTTGTAGGCATTATAATTTTATGGATTTCCAGAAGGACACTAGGAGAAAGTAATTTGTCAAGGCCAGTTACAAAATGCTGGTTACAAAAAGTCGTCTAGCATCAGTTCCACTGCTTTGAATCAGTACTCAATGAAGCTGCAAGCTAGTATTTGAGCGGCCTGTATGAAGGGTGTTTTTCTCTCTTGTTTTCCATAGGGAAAAACATAGTGTCTGACGCACAGTTTTAAAAGAAAAAAAAGAGATGATTTTTAAAAATTTATCTTTAAGAAATTTTGTTAGTCATCGGAGATTGAATAGTTTCCCCTGGCTCCCCTGGGTGAGGGTGGCCATTCAAGCAATAGCAGCAGGATAGTGAGTTGCTATTATGACCTTTTATCATCTGAGACATTCTCATTATTGCTTCATTTCAAGCAGAGAGAAGAGCAGCATGAGGTGGGAGAACCAGAGCACTGTGTCTGAATTCCTCCTGCTGGGGCTCCCCATCCGGCCAGAGCAGCAGGGCGTGTTCTTTGCCCTGTTCCTGGGCATGTACCTCACCACGGTGCTGGGGAACCTGCTCATCATCCTGCTCATCAGGCTGGACTCTCGCCTCCACACCCCCATGTACTTCTTCCTCAGCCACTTGGCCCTCACGGATGTGTCCTTTTCCTCTGTCACCATCCCAAAGATGCTGGTGAATATGCATATGCAAGATCAATCCATCTCCTATACAGCATGTGTAACGCAGACGTATTTTTTCATGTTTTTTGCTTGTATTGATAACCTTATTCTGGCAGTGATGGCATATGACAGGTATGTGGCTATCTGCCACCCTCTACACTACATCACCATCATGAGGGCGGAGTTGTGTGTTTTTCTGTTGGCAGGATCCTGGTTACTCTCATGTGCCAATGCCCTGTCCCACACCCTCCTCTTGGCTCAGCTGTCCTTCTGTGCTGACAATACTATGCCCCACTTTTTCTGCGACCTTGCTGCCCTGCTTAAGCTGTCCTGCTCAGACACGTCTCTGAACGAACTGGTCATATTCACTTCTGGGGCTGCAGTTGTCATCTTTCCGTTGAGTGGCATCTTGGTGTCTTATGGTCGCATTGGGGCCACCATCCTAAGGTTCCCTACAATCAAGGGCATCTGCAAAGCCTTCTCTACCTGTGGTGCCCATCTATCTGTGGTTTTTCTCTTCTACGGGACAATCATGGTATTATACTTTTTCCCATCATCAAATAATTCCAACGACAAAGATATAGTTGCCTCATTAATGTACACAGTAGTCACTCCCATGTTGAATCCTTTTATCTACAGCTTGAGGAACAGAGACATGAAAGAGGCCCTGGGGAAACTTGTCCGAGGGGAGATATTTTTATCTAAGTAACTATCTCACATTCTTGTTTTTATCTACTGGCTCTGTCAGAGAGGTCTGTTTGAAAAGTATGTAGTTAAAAAAAAATAATCTTGGTTTTTGTACTTAACCGAGTCTCCTTTTAGTAGTTTATTCTATTTGGATTTTCTAAACTCTTTGGGAGAAGATAAATGTAAAGTGTGAAATATAATTGCAGAAGGTATCCTCTTGTGCCTTTAGTTCTCAGCCCTGACACTGAGTAAGACTAGAGCTGTCAGATGCGTGTAGTTAGAAAAAAAGACTTTCCCTTTCCTAATAATTTCATTCTGTATTATGTTTTTATACACAATTTATTTGTGTATTAATCCAACCTTACTTTATTTTCATTGTGATTTGGGTGGAGGTTTACAGAGTAAGGTGATTACTAACCAACAATTTTTACACATTTTGTTTCTTGACATTTATCCCAATCACACAATGCCAGTTCACCTCCTCCCTGTGTCTGCCATTTCCTTTCATCTTCCTTTCCTATTCTTTTCTACCTTCTGAGTTTTCTTTCTGGACAAATGCTGTTCTTCTAATATATGATTGATCTTCAGCGTGCACATCTTCCTAGTATTACTGCTCATTTTATAAGCTTGTCTATTGTTTGGCTGAAACTTGAGCCACAAGGGATAAGTTCAGGTCTAAGTTTGGAGGGTGTCCTAGGGTCATGAGAGTAGTAAGCCTAGTCAGTCTTGTTGTTTTGACGTTTGTTTCACATTTTCCCCCCACTATATTAAGAAACTTCTATTGTGATCCCTTCTGTGTCATCAGCACTGGTATCTGGGCAGCATCTCAGGGTCATGGAGGCTGAGGTTCACTTGGTATATTAGTCCTTTGGACTGTTTGCATGTGTCTTGGATTTTCTTCACTCTTCTTTACTCCAATGGAGAGACAAAAATAGTGGCATCTTAGATGACTGTTCACAACCTTTTAAGACTCTAGTCACTATTCACCAAACCAGGGTGTAGAACATTATCTTTGTGAATTATGTTGTATCAATTGACTTAATATCTCCTGAGACAAATGTCCTCAAAGAATTTGGTTATGGTTAAGAAATTTTCATAACTTTGAGTCTTGTATTTTCTACCATGTTGTTGTCATTATATACCCTATGGAACCAACCAATAGCTGACTGTCCAGTGGATGTTCAAAGACCGCCAATAGAAGGGAGGAGGCTACTCATCTTTCTTCCTGAAGAATAGATTTGTACTGCATGCCAATGGGTTGGTAGTGCAACTCTTTACTACTAAGTCACCAGCATCTCCATGGATATATTTGCAGCATATTTAAATAGATACATAGAACTATCCTTTGTCAAAGCTTATATTCATGAATGTAGTTCCACTTGGTTTCTGACTCTTGTTTAGCTTGAAGGCCTATTTACGTATCTACTCATCATTGTTATTGTTCTGTGCCATCAACTCAACTCCAACTCATAACAACCTTCCATACAACAGATCTAAACTTTGCTCTACATTATTACTTTAGTGCAGGATTATGTATGTAATATGTTTACTTTTGTTGTCTTTAATTTTTGTGCTCTTTCCAGTGTCTTCATTTATCTTGGTTATTTTGTGCTCATCTTCTTTATTGTATATTACCTTTCCATCCACCTAACTAATTATGTATCTGCCCTCTAGTTAATGATTGCTTTCCCTTCATCTCATGGTGATCTTTATGTTTTATTCAATCACAATCACTAGGCACAAAATTGTATTTAGAAAAAGATCAACAATAATGTGAAAACCCTCCACAAGTTAAACTGGTACATAATACAACAATGGACGGAACAAAGCAATGATCATGCAGATGGTATAGGATTGGGTTGTTTTGCTTCGTTAGACGTAAAGTCAGTATAGTTGGAGCTGATTTGACAACAACAAATATTCAACTGCATGACTCTGCCACAATTTGCTTATTTTGTCACTTGTTAATGGACAATTGGTTTGTTTCAAGCTTGGGGATATAACAAATGAAGCTTCTGTATTTATGTACAATTTTTGTGTAAACAGATTTTAAAACTTTTCTTTTTGATAAAAAACAGCCACATAAATATTGAGTTATGTCAACTATTTGTTTTTATTGTAATTTGAGTAAAAGTTTACAAAGCTTATTAGTTTTACATTCAACCATTTTTACACATTTTATAACATTAATTAAACATCCACAATGTGCTCTTCTCATGTCTTCCTTATGATTCTCATTTCCATTAATTCTTCTATTCTAACCATAGCCTGAGTCAGGCACATTTTCAGACTGACATCATTGTTCTTTAGTACTTTGGGGAGGTTCCTGACAGCAGATTTTCCCAGTACAACACAAAACAACACAACTTTGGATTTCTTGACTAATGCTGCCATAGGTATTGGAAATTGCGACAACTTAATTTTTTCTCCATCTATGATGGTGTTGCCTATTGGTAATCCATACTGAAGGTTGTGATCTTCATTACCTTCATTAAGTGTTTCAGGTCTTTTTCCATTTCTGAGCAAGGTTGTGTCATATGCATCATGCAGGTTGCTGACAAGTCTTCTTCCAATATTGATTCTACATTCATCATCATTTAGTCCAACTTAAAAACTCAGATTCATCACAGTCAGTCAGAACTTGTTCACAACTGACCCTCCAGTTGGTTTTCAGAGGCTGTAAATTGCACAGGAGGAGAGGGTCTATCTTTCAACATGAAACAGTTGAAAGATTTAAGGCGCCTGTGTTTGGGTTGGCAGCACAACTGTCTTACTCACTAGACCACATTCTATGCTCACATAGTCCAGCTTCTGAAATTATTTGCTCAATGTATGGATTAAATAGTTCTAGAGAAAGGATACAACCCTGATGCACAACTTTCCTGATTTAAAATCATGCAATATTCCCTTATTCTGTTCAGACAAAGCTTCTTAGTTTATATGTAGGTTTCACATGAGAACAAGTAAGAGTTCTGGGATTCTCATTCTTCTCAATATTATTCATACTTTGCTAAGATCCACACAGTCAAATGCCTTTGCATAGTCAATAAAACAATGGCAGCCACATCCACATAGCTTAAATTGCCCAGTCTCCACGTCTCCCCTCACTATTTGTCAGTTAAAGATTCAGCTCCATCTCTGGCAACACCCATACCATCATGTTTCTAGAGCTGGAAGCTCTCAGTGTTCTTCCAGAGCCCATGAACTGTGTGCTACAACAGGCCTGCAATCAGCCCCCAGATTAGTGGAGGCACCTCCTCTGACTGGGAATTACATGACTTCTGGACTGGCAAAGATACTACCTTAATCCAGGTAGGCTAGCCTAAGAGCTTCTGACGCCAGTAGAAACTTTTCCCCAGACTGGGTGCCCCACTTCGTGAAACACCCTCAGCAGAGCCTTCCTATGGTATGGATGTTTATTATTATTTTTTATGTTTATTTTGTGGTATTTGTATGTTTGCTTGTTTTTCTTCTATGAGTAAGAGGCTTCAGAAGAAGATGGAAGGAATATACAGAGTTACTGCACCAAAAGAATTGTTTGTCACTGAAACATTTCAGAAAGTAGCATATCATCAATAACCAATGGTAATTAAAGAAGTTCAAGATGCACTGAAAACATTGGCAAAAAAAAACAACCTTTGAGGAACTGATGTAATACTGATTGAAGTGTTTCAATAAACAGATACACTAGAGCTTACTAGTCTATTCCAAGAAATTTGGAAGACAGCTATATGGTCAACTGACTGGAAGAGATCCAGTTGAATGTGGCAATTATAGAATATCATTAATATCACATGCAAGTAAAACTTAGCTGAAGATTATTTTTAAATGGCTGGAATAGTAGATGTATAGGGAACTGCCAGAAATTAAAACTGAACAGAAGAGGCCATGGAATAAGGGATATTGATGATGTCAGATGAATTTTAGCTGAAAGCAAATAATACCAGAAAGATACTTCCTTGCTCTATGTTGTTGTTGTTATGTGCTGTCTAATCCACTATGACTCATAGTGACCCTATGTACAATAGCTCTGAACCTTGCTCTATCCTGAGCCAATCTCACTATCTCTGACATACCTACCCTTATTACCCCAGTTATTGTGTCAATCCATCTCATGCAGGATCTTTCTCTCCTGCATTGTCCCTTGACCTTTCAAAGCATGATATCCTTCTCCAAAGACTCCTGGCTATATGTCCAAAGTATGTGAGATGAAATCTCAAAATCTTTGCCTCCAAGGAATAGCTTGCTTTCACCCTATCTAGGATAAACCTGTTAGTTCTCTTGGAAGTCCATGGTATGTTCAATATTCTTCTTCAGCACCACAACTCAAAGGCATCAATTCTTTTTTAGTCATCCTTGATCATTGCCCAGCTCTCTGATGCATAGCAAGTAATCATTGCCTGAATCAGGTACACCTTAGTCTCTGGACTGACATCTTTGCTTTTCAGCACTCTGGAGTGGTCCCTGACAGCAGATTTCCCTAATGCAATTAATCTTTTGACTGTTGTGCCAAGAGTGTTGATTGTGGAACTGAGCAAGCTGGAATTAACAATCTCAATCTCCATCTATTATGATGCTGCAAATTGGACCAGTGATGAGAATCTTTGTTTTCTTGGTGTTAAGCTTTAATCTATATTGCAAACTATAGTCCTTGATCCTCTGCAGCAGATACTTCAGGTCCTTCTCAGTTTCAGAAAGTAAGATTGTGTCATCTGCATAACTAAAGTTGTTGATGAGTCTTCCTCCAATCTTGACGCCATATTCTTTCTCATAAAGTTCAGCCTCTCAAACAATTTGTTCTGCATACAAATTGAAAAGGTAAGGAGACAGGACATATCCCTGACACACTCCTTTTCTGAGTTTGAACCAAGCAGTGTTTTCTTGTTCTGTTATGATGACTGTTTCCTGGTCCAGGTATAGAATTCACAAGAGTACAATCAGTGGCTTGGAATTCCCATTCTTCTCAAACTTAGCCACAATTTGTTGTGATCCATGAAGCAGAACTGGCATCCACATCCTAAA